ATTTCTTTTATACAATACTTTAGATCAGGCATTAAATAAGTCTAAAGGTTTATAATTGCTCAAATTTATTTATCAATTTCAAGATTATGTTGAATTAGGAATTTGCACGTATGCTGATCATTAAAATGTTCGTCTCTAGATATTAAAAATCAGTATTTTATTGTTTTCAAGCTAACTGAAATGATAACTTCGCTAATTTATTTATTTACTTATTTAATTATTTCAGTTTTATATGATGTTGCGTTTGTGTAGGTACACATTTTTGAACCTTTAAGAAGTATCTTGAACATATGTGACAGACATGTCAATAACTATGAAATTTTGCATTGCTGACTGTACGTATTAATTTTCTCTCTGGTGGCTTCATGAATAAGTTAGGCGGCTGCCACAGCCTTGGACTTGGATTTAAATCATGCAGAAGATATGGATGTTTGTAAGTGTATAGTGTCTTTGCGTCATAGGGACACTTAACAAGCCGAAAGTTTTCTATAGAGATTGGGGGAAAATGAAGACGAGTTGAATATCCCCGGATCTGTTCCTGTGGGTATTCTCCTTCAAAACTGGGACTGAACCAGCAAATTCATACTGTAATCTACTATCGGGTGCCCAAGGTCAACGACATGAGCAACCCTTTCGGCTACAACAAAATTCCTAAATCTGATCTGATGTTACTGTCAGACAAGTGAGATAAGTCACGAGTCACAACACAAACATAGTATATTAATTTTAAAATCTGTCTTTTGAATTTCAATTATATGTACGGAAAGCATTTCCCATTTAAAACGATTTATAGTAAGGCCAAAGTATGTTCATTACATGCTTTTAATCCATTTATTTACCTTTAAATATTCTTAAAAGAAATATTTTACCTATTCGATTACAACACATTTTTATTCAAATACATGTTTGTTGTTATAAATTAACCACCAAAAGAGCTGCAACAATTGTTTCTAATCCCTATTTTTCTCTTTACTTGTAGATAATAGATAACAAAGCCACGAAACATAACAATTCAAGTAAATTGTTTTGTGATAAAAATGTCTGTTGATGATCTGAAAGCTCATTTTCACTTAGTCAGCTTGAAGTAGTTTCAAAGATTTAATAACTTGGTATTGATATTAGTAGGATAAAATTTGGATGTTTTTTTTTTCCTAACCGTAAACGATAGACAATAAAAGTTTTAAAAATTACAACAGTATGTCCAAAGAAGATCTCACTTCAGATTCAGAAAGTATTTTAGCGGATGAGTTGGATGAAAATGATGAGCAATGTAAAGTAATTCTTTATGAAGAAAAACCAGTATTAAGTCACAGTTCCTCACATCAATCTCAATCTCCCTCTACTAGCACCAGACATATCTCAGAAGGAAACGGGGCAAGAATAGTTATTGAAGAAATACGAATTAGGGAATGGTACGCCCTTTAAAAATGTTTCAATTATACTATAAATTTACCATTTAAAATATCTGTATTTGATAAATTCTAGAAACATTTTATGAAGAGTTCTGTTTAATACTCTTATAGAATATTTAAGCACTACTCATATGTATTAAGCAACCCAATATGGGAGTGAAACGTCCTCGTTTAAGTTTGGGATAGAAACGATGATACAAGTAGTGCGATAAATGCTTAAAATAACAAAAATAATTCATTTTCTAATTTAGGAAGATTTTGAATATTTAACATAAATAATACTAAAACATTTTAAGTAACTATAAGTAAAACATTTTTAAGTTGAGATATTATTTAAATATTTTATCGCTATAATGAATAAATTATGATTAAATAAATTTTAATTATTTATTGTTTACATTTGTATAGTTATTTATATATGTATATTATAAATCATTAAAGATATCATTAAATAAGTATGATTTCTTTAATGATTTACTCATTATACTAACTAAATGAAGATCTTGAAAGCAAAAAGCCAAGTAATTATACAAATCTGCGAATAAATGCACTTAAAATACATCTCTTCATAAAAAGCTTAGAAAAGGCTTTTTCTGAATTTTTTTAAATTCCCTGAGATGAGTTTTCATGATATTTTTAATCGTTCTATACTTTTAATTGTTCTACATCTATGGTATTTAATCGCTATATGTATAATTATGGTATTTTAATCGTTCTATACAAAAACTCTAATTTTAATTTATAATAGTTCTAAATCCACATTTCATCGCTGGCTGTGTAATTATTACAAAGAATAAAAATTTTAATTATTCTATAAATTTGATACCTTTTCTTCCTCGTAAATATTTTATGAGAAGGAATTTTTCTGAAAATATCCTTTTTTATCAGAAAATGTCATCTAAATTTACCACTTTTCTTGAAATTATTTTGTTTCCTTTTTGCTTTGTAATTTAATCTCTTGTTTATAATCATTAATAAACATTTAGAAATATTACGAAATTTAAAATTTTCTTTTCGAAGTTGGTTTAATTGTTAGAAGAAGTATTTTAAATACTAAGTGAAGAAATAGGTGGATATAAATACGACGGCATTTTGCTTGTTTGAGTAGTGTGTCTACCTTGATCACACGGGTCCTGATTTTTGAAAATAATCTCTCTTTAAAAGAAGGATGAATGCCTTAGAAGGCAACAAAACTGCTCAAATTATGCAGTTTTTAGTCAAAATACTAACAGGTACTATAGAAAAGTTTTGCTTTTCAAAGTTTTTCTGCTGCATTCTTAAAGGATTTATATATCATCTAATAAAACCTTAATATATTATATGAGTTGTAAGCATTTATCATTATCAATTACAGAAATTTCAGATCTATCTTTTAAAACTATTTGCATCTTTCGTGTTAAATAATTAAAAAATGGCTATTATTGAATATTTAGGGCAACATTGCCGACATATGGACATCCCAGTCTGATCAAAAATCGTCGCCTGGCTTTGATAAACAAGATAAATTCCCCCTTGTGAGAATTTGTGATGTTAAATTATTTAAACGAAAATTCTTTCATTGCATGAAATTCCGATTTTGAGAGAGAATATGTAGGTGCTTAGCTCCCCAAAACAAAATTTATAGAAATTTCCTAGGTAAAAATAAGCGGAAGAAATCCTTTTTTTTTTTTTTTTTTTTTTTTTTTTTTTTTTTTAACTAAAAGTTTAGGACCTAAGATCAAGAACTAAGGTGAAAAGATGACGATATTTCACTAAAAAAGAAATACACTCATTTAATTGTGATTAGTTTCAATGACAAAGAAAACTTTCTGAAACATTAATGCAAAACACACTTTTATTTTTATTATTTCAATAAGCATATTTATTTTAGTCACGAATGAAAACAGCATAGGTTGTTTTACATTTTTAGAGATTACTTTTTTTCGGTAGTTTTTATTCTTACTTTTCCGCATAGCTTTCTCTTAAAATTTCTCTCGCGTTACATTACACAGAAAAATACAATAATTTTAATTATAATTTCACTAAAATTGTCTATATAAATACAAAATCCAATACAATATGTTTTGCACACTTGCAATTAAAACTCATTTGTTGAAATATTTTTCATATATTAATATAATATTACCAATAATATGAATTATAATATTACCAATTTACTGTACTAAAAATACAAATCTAGAAGATGACCGTTTGGGGAGAAAACTGTGTTTATAAGGGGAATTCTGAATCTTGAATTAAACTCTTGGCTTATTTCTTTAGTTGATATAAAAAGGCATCATAAAATGCAGATTATACACGAAGATTACGTTCATGTATATATAAAATAAATTTTAACGTTCAATATCTTCAGCATAAAAGAAAAGTTATGATTCACCTAGTACATAAACACTTCCTCGGTGAGTCGAGTAATTTAATCTTTTTGACAAACAGCAATAAGCAGGATAGAAAATACTGATCATTTCAATCTTTCAGTTTCAATACAAAAATTTTAAAAATATTGCAGTGCCCATACGGATTCGTATTAGATTGAATGCACAATTCCGATAATAGGTTAATAAAATTTATTCTTATCAAAAGAAATATATCAGAAGTCTGGACCTCAAAAATATTCGTACAAGTGTTCACAATATCAGGCAGCATAATCAGTAGTTATACTTCAAACTACTAAAAAGGTTAAATACAACGTAATGCGAAGCACATTTAAAGAGGAAGTTATTTGGATATTTTAATTCACGCAGAACTAAACAACTCGCAACAACAGTAACTAAGTAACTCAACTTAGACGCTCTCGGCCCAGCCTTTTATAGTTTTCAACCGGTCGCGAGATATTTCTAGTACTTTCTGTTTCTCGAAATTACCGGAAAGCAATACGACGGGGAAATGACGGTTACAGCTAACATAGTGGTCAATTGCATTTATTCAATTTCAGTACAAATTACTGAGATAACCATTTCATCAATGTTAAATGCTCATGCCCCTCTGTATTCTTACTTTTTCGGGATAGCTTTCTCTTAAAATTTGTTACATTACACAGAAAAATACAACAATTTTAATTATAATTCCACTAAAATTGCCTACCTAAATACAAAATTCGATACAATATGTTTTGCATGCTTGCAATTAAAACTCATTCGTTAAAGTATTTTTCATATATTAATATAATATTACCAATAAGTACTGTACTAAAAATACTAATCTAGAAGATGACCGTTTGAGGGGGGAACTGTGTTTAAAAGGGGAATTCTGAACCTTGAATTAAACTTTTGACTTTTTTATAATTCATTTTTATATATGTGAGAAAATATGCACTTGTTTCTCTTGACATAATATAAAACATAGAAAACATTTAAAAATTAATTTAAGAGAAAAGAATAAGAATTAAAGACTGCTGTTTTGCCTTTAACCTGATAATATAATGTTGGAAATAAGTTATGATGTCTTTTACATTATATACAGACTTTGATTTTAAGTTAATTTCGTAAGGTATTCCTATTTTTATGTTAGAAAGGTTCCTCTTTTGAGATTCTTTTAAATCAAATTAGTAGCAGAGTAGTAAAATAAATTTTTAACATCATTATCCTTCTCTAGCCTCATCCATGAAAACGAAAACTGCTGTTCAGAAAATGATGAACTCACTGGAAACATTCTTTATGAATTTCCAGATGATTCTGATGAGGGCAGCGATGACAGTTTAAATAATATCACAAGGAATACGCAGTCTGCACATAGTGAAGCTAAACAAAGTGAAGAATTCTCTGATGATAGTATTCAGAAGCAAGGTAAAACTGTAGGATCTCAAAATCTGAGGCAACCAACTTACGATCTAACTAGCAAAAGAAATGGTTATAATATATCTGAGTCTAACAGCAAATCTAAAGCAGATGGCTTTGAAAATATAATAATTTCTAGAAATATCGACGCAAATCACAAAAGAAAGACATCCGATTTGAAAAGAAAAGCTGAGGAGAAATTATCAACAGATGATGATGAATTAGATGGTAACGAAACTCCACGTGCAGCGAAAATGCTTAAAGATTCTTCAAATGAGTTGAAATTTTCTTCTCGTGAAATGATGTCTTCAGTGAATGAGTCCGCAGAAGAGTACACACCTATGGATACCAACTCAGAGGACTTCTTTGCTGATGCAGAAGACAGTTCTAGTTCCGACAATTTTGAATCAAACTCTGATCGGGAAATTAATTTAGAAAATTCTACGAACATGAGAAGATGCAATGAATTTACTTCCGTATCTAGCAAAGTAGTTAGTAAGTTAAGCTTTACTAATACTCAAAGCAGCAGCTTCGATAATTCCCAGAGTTCTACATTCCCAGGTTTTACAGTTGCTACACCACTGGAAAAAAATCCGAATGAAGATCAAATCAAGGATCAAGACAATGACTTAACTTCTGGACGAAATTCTGAGGCAACTAAGGTAATTCCTGTTGCCAGCTTACAAGATAGCACGTCGACCATAACAAATGAAGAGAATCGAAACGATCAACCAGCAGCAACCTCTAATTCCTTGAAAATCCGTTCCGAAGTCTCCCGACCAAAGAAATGTCTGGTGTGTCGAAAGAGGCTTGGTCTGGTTCCTATTCAGTGTCGCTGTGGAGGTCTGTACTGCTCCATCCATCGTTACGACAGGGAACATAACTGCACTTTCGATTACAAAGCTATGGGAGCGGAAGAAATAAGGAGAAATAACCCACTTGTAATTGCAGAGAAAATTCATAAGCTGTAAAGGATTGCATTTAGAAGAACGAAAGAAATTTTAGCTGCATTATTCTGAGCAAATAAATTATTTCACTATTAAGAATCATGCAAAAATTTCGATTGATGAAATCTAATCACGAATGCAAATTTTTATATAGAATCCTACACAAAATTCATTGTTGATTAAAAGTTATTAATTTTAAATCTCAGACATGATTTATTTCATATTATCGGATTTATACATTTAGTCTCGTAGTTACTCTTTAAAATTTTACAGTTGCTACATTGCTAAAAATTTTATTTCGACCATCTCATATTTATTGGATTAATATTCACTAAAAATGTTTAATATATTTTCGTTATAGCATTGCTAGATATCATTCAATTTTCACATACATTTGTATTAATGAATCGTTAAAGTACTGTGGTATATAAAACAACAGATTAGGCACTCTCTAGAAATAACATCACACGAGAAAAGAGAAAGAAATGTATCCTTCAATTAAATAATTAAATAAATAAATAGTAATTCTACCTCTTCAAAACTTGTGTTCAAAAAATTTTTATTTAAATTTCAGTTTAAATAGACTTCGTTTTTTTACTTACCTTACTATATAGATACATAAGTTCACCCGAAAGTTCATCGTTTCCTGCATATTAATACTTTGTTACTACTTTACTTTTGTTTACTTACTTTACTTTACTTTACTTACTACTTACTTTGTTTTTACTTTGTTTGTTAATACTTTGTTAATTGTTTGATACTCAGATATTACAAAAAAATCTCCGTTTATAAATTATTCATAAAAAGTAATTTTCATGCCATTTCTTGATATTTTTCATTTTTTCATAGTTAGTTCATATTAAATATACTGAATATATTATCAAAGTAAGTTTTGAATGTGACTACAATATTCTATTTTTTGAAGGGTTTTTTTTATTATTATTTGCTGAAGTTGAAACAAATAGTTTCTAATTTTTATATTTAGTTTAACATTTCAGAAAAGATAATTTATTATAACATTCCAGAAAAGATAATTTATTAATCATATAAAATTCTACAAGCGTAGAAACTGAGAATCTTGCATCCTTAATAATCACCAATATTTTAATGGAAACGTTTTGAGCATTAAATACAATCTTGTTAAAAAATTTGTTGATACATGGTGTTATACATAGGTCACGCATGGTTACAAGATTTAATTTCTTAAATACTGATCTTAAACATACACTTTCATAGGCGAGGTTTCTTACAATAAGCTACAGTACTGTTCGAGAGGCTAAGAGCATTTTATGGTAATAGAATCAAACTTTTCGTGTGGTTCTCGAAAAGCAAATATTCCATTTGCTGAAATATTCACTATACTGTAATAAGTTCACTAGAAACCTTTTCATACCATTACGTGAAAATTCATGGAGATGTTCGAGAACAAAGTTACTGGCCTAATTTTGCTTTTTAATATTTCATATCGAGTCCGAATATTAGAAATTGGAATCACGTTTAGAAAGGAACTATAGAAAAAAAAGTTCTTTGTTTCGGCAAATGATGATACTGCATTGTTTAAACCAGCACTCATTATTAAATTTGTAGATGGTTCTGATTATATTATAAAGTATTTGCCTTCCTAGCATGCCTTCGTGGTGTGGTGGTCTGCACGCTGGGCCGGTATTCCAGAGGTCCATGGTTCGATTCCCGGCGAAAGCGTTTGATCATTTTTCATCACTCTTGCTTCCAAAAAATACCTAATGTCTCTACAATATAACTAAATACATCATTTGTCTTAAAGTGAAATTCCATGCGGGCCCCATGCACCATTTGAAAAGAGCTTGAAGAGGCAGGTATTTTCCCCCTTTTTCTCTTCTTTTTTCCTTTTCTTTTTCTTTTTACTTTCCCTCTTTTTATTTTTTCTTTCCTTTTCTTCATTTTTCAAATTTTTTACAAAATTATCAACAAAATAAAAAGATATTTAAAATAAACTTTAATTTTCTCTCATTTAAACATTTATTAATATATGACATAAACAGTAATAATACTATCATACAGGATACAAATACAAATTAACTCTTTTTTCCATCTGAAATCTAACGTTTGGTACCTGCAAAACATATTTTCGCTATATTTTGTAATTCAAGTATATTCACAGTTATATATTAAACTATTAACAGTTCTTTCAAAATAACATTTCTTTCAAATAGTTATAACATGTTTAATTAATCATTAAATAATTTAACTTGAACAAATTATGGAAACTTTCTAAGTTTTCAAAGAAGCATTTCCAAGTAGGATAAAAGTTGAAAATAAATAATAACAACCTAGTTTAGTTTTCGTATTTTTCTAAATTTTACTTTGACGTATAAATAAAAATACATAGGTTTGTATGTAAGCAATTACAAACTTAATTAAGACACGATAACACGCCGAACAAATACTAATTCAGAAGTCAAACAACAAAAATCAGCTTTATATATTCTAATTTTCACAGGACTAGTTTCGATGGTTCCGAGTTCCATACTCAAGGATCCCATTCCGGTTATGAATTCATGGGTTATTTACAGGATTCCTTGCCAGTGTGGTTTAATTTACATTGGCTTAACATTAAATAAACAAGCCTTAAAATTTCGCAGAATAAAGGAAACACAGAAGTCTTCTGTTGCCCAACATTGTTGGTTCGAAAATCACACTTTCAATTTTTCTGCTGCCAAAATTATTTAGAAAACATCTTCCATTGGAGAATTGGATTTTCTAGGGGCATTTCACATTCAAAAAAATCTTTCTGTTCTAGCTAACGATCCTAATTCCTATCCATCTTTGCCTTCGGCCTTTAAAGAAATTATGTTTTAGTTCTGCTTTCATCAGCAGATGGCGCCAGTAGCTTAGCTCCTGTCCAGGCTTTCTTATCTTATCTAATCATTATATCCTACGTCGCTCATTTGCGCTTTTGCAGCTGAGGATGATGGTTCGGTAAAACCATCGAAACTAGTCCTGTGAAAATTTGAAAATATAACGCTGATTTTTGTTGTTTGACTTGAACTAGTAATTAAAAACTTCTTTATTTCTTGACTTCGTGGCGTTTCGATTATGATAAAGTTGAATTTAAAATTTATTTCGCCTATGAAAGTGTAGTCCTAAATAGAAAAATCTTCAGTACGGATTGCAGATGATAATATTTAAATCAGTTTCTTTTCTTATTCACTTTTAACTTTATATTAAGCTGTTCACATATAACTGTATTCCCAAACAAAGCGATTATTTTTAGTGAAAAAATTCGTAACCGAGCTTATATGTATTTTACTTAAGTTACTTAAAATTAATCAAATTTTCTACATTCTTGATTAATATTTATATGACACTGTAAATTGATTATCTTCAGTAGATTTTCTGGTGTGTTATTCATGTTCTTTTTATAAAGGAAATGAAAATAATAGGAATTCAAAGTTCAAGTAACTAAATCATGAAATCTTTGCAATACCGTATTCGCAATAAATACAAAATTGAAATGTCTTCGATAACTGTATTCCCAAACTTAGCGATTATTTTTAGTGAAAAAATTCGTAACCGAGCTTATATGTATTTTACTTAAGTTACATAAAATTAATCAAATTTTCTACATTCTTGATTAAGATTTATATCACACTATAATTTGATTATCTTCAGTAGATTTTCTGGTGTGTTATTCATGTTCTTTTTATAAAGAAAATGAAGATAATATGAATTCAAAGTTCAAAAGTAACTAAATCATGAAATCTTTGCAATAGCGTATTCGCAATAAATACAAAATTGAAATGTCTTCGATGGCAAAATGAAATTAGTTTGGAGGCCACATGCTGCCCGCGGCCGTCAGTTTGAGACAACTGGAGTATACGAAATATAATTTCATGGGAATATTTTGTTAATTGGAATTTCTGTCCTCAGAGGCCATATAAATAAAAATCTGAAAGGTTTCAGGTTTTAAATCACTTCCAAACGGGCGTTTTTTTAATATTTTGTATGTTACCTTTATTTATTAAACATCATGTTCTTCGCACTTAAACCATAAAAATTCAGTTCAAGAGCAATATCGCAAAATAAATTTTAAATTGAGCATATCTTAAGAATTTCTGATACACAATCTCACGCGCTGGAGATAAAATAAATTTTCTGTACTACGTTTTCCATTGCTCGCTTTGAAATCCTTGAGTTTGTTAATCAAAAATTCGTTAAAGTTTTAAAAAATACAAAATCGATAACAAAACAAAATTTCAAATTTTAAATTTGGTATTCCATATGCACATATTCATGGGAGGATTACGTTATTCAAAATTCGATGGCTCTATGTACCGTTGTTTTATCACAATGCGAGAAATATACATACATTTATGCAGATTTTTCATTATTTAATTTTTTTTAATATAATACAGGGAGATAATATTTGGTGGCAACAGTTTGAAAAGTGAAACGGACATTCAGAGTGATTCGACGCAAAACGAAAACAGTAGTCCCTCAGGGACAAAGCCCCTTTGTACTAATTATATGATGGTTACTTATATTACGAATTTCCCACCCAGTAAATGTCCCACATAACGGAGCATAGTTGCAGTGAAAAATATCCTGCACGACTAACATGTTTCTGAATTAAAAACCATAAAAGAATGCTATCATATATTACATCTGTATTAAATGTCTTGGGCTTATTATTTAACTTAGTTTTAACTTTACATTTCTATTTTGAGTTTCGTGAGTTGATTGAAAATGTCTTTTCACCCTTCCCAAGTCCTGTCATTAATGCAGTTTAAACTTGTCGAATAGTCGCTTCATAGTTCAAGTAAAGATTTTGCCAAAAAAAAGGTAACTTTAATTTAACTAGAATCGTGCAAGCTGTTACACTGAACTATTTTTATAACAAATAAATTAGTAAATTCCCAACAGTTACAACAATTTTAGTGTTCTAATAGTCTCTTCATTGTTTTCCTATGTTTCAAGATTATAGGCCAGGGTCGTAACCGGTCAGGATTATTTGAATTACAATAAATGAATGTGAGAGCTATCTGCTAAGTTGCCTGTTGCCTTCGTGGGAAACTTTTAAGGTAAACTGACTCCAATTACCATTGGACGTAATGAAAAGCACAAAAAGTCCCATGCAGCTACACAGTTTGCTAAACTTTAAGCGGACATCAAACTACTAGTATTCAGTGATTTTACTTCTCTGTCACTTTCTTTTGTGCGTGAATCTAACCAGGAACAATGGATTCTGTATTACAATAGAAAAAACTACTTTCATTATGCAATGTAACATTATATTATGCATCTATAGATTAATTCAACCTAAAAAGCTGGAATAGTTCTCAGAAAATTCTATCCGTAATTTTAAGAAACTTTGTAATTAAACGTACATGACAGGAATCAATATTTAAGGAAACAACAGCTGTTTTGAAAAGTTTGGACAACCGAGTTCATTCACCTTATTTAAGTATATTTCGGGGAACTAATTAACCGTAAGTTTTCCAAGTTACTTAGCCACTAGTTTATTGTTAGAAATAATGTCACTTAGTTGTTCTGTAGCAAAATTAATGCGTATTTATTATGCTTATTTGTTGCACACGTGCAGTAAATTATCTTAAATTGTTTTCC